ACTGTTACTGTATTCCTGTCTCTCAAGCCTTTCCAAAGTGATTGCATTTTCTTCCTTTAATGCCTTCATTTCATTCATAAGACTCTTGTATTGATTCACATCTAACAGCATATAATCGCCGATCTGGTCGTCCGTCACACCCGTATTAGACAGCAATGTCTGCTTCAATGACTCGATCTCTTGGTTTGATTTGCGATTCAATTGAAGCAAAGATTGGACGCAATTGTGGACCGATTTGTGCGACTCATCCGACTCTGATATGAGACAAAAGCATTTCTCGCAAAACCCGGAACCGAAATAGCATTTCAACGAGTGTTGAGACAACTCCTCTAATTTAAGCACTTCTTGACACCCATTGGATGCGAAATCGCAACGAATTTCTAGTTTCGCCAATATATTCAACAATATTCTGTCAAATCATACAAATAATTACTAATAATGTTGTAATTATTAGTTAGTAATTAGTTAGGTAGTTATTAGTTGTAGTTATTGTAACTAATAATTACTTATTTCTAAAATCACATGTATGTGCACTCGATAATAGCCATACCGTGGAGGCTTAGCCAACTGTGTGGTGTTAAGAATGCTTCTGTCGTACGGACAGGTATTGCGGACATTAAGCCACTCGTGAATACAGTCCCTGCAGAAGGTCTGAAGACAGCACTGGGCGACGAGGGGTGAGTTGACCACATCCTGGCATATACTGCACAACAACTCATTTCTCTCCCATTCACTCAAATTGACAAATCTTTCCGATGGAAAGCCCGGCATTACTGTCACCGCAATTGCTAACTAAACTCAATACACAATTTACCAGCAATTAAAACAATTTGATTGTTTAATACATTTCACTCAATAAGTAGTTTTAATGAGATATAATCAGAGATAAGTTATTGAATAAAAGACTAAACGTTAAGTTGAAGTTAACATTAGCTAGCTAACATTAGGTTTGCAAACCTGTTTTCACTAACTCATGGGTTGTTTGGAGTTTGTTAGCAGTATTGACCAAATATCTGTCTTGTTCAATTGGCTTTCATAATAACTTATTATTAGTAATATCTTATCATTTTTCAAAGTCAAATGGACTGAAGTTTCAAAATGATAAAGTGTGATAATAAAAATATTTTCACTTATTTTCTATGTCTAGTAATAAATACAAACTATTTTTGTTAAATAAGATTTAATAAACATAGATGTGATTGAGTGGACACATTAATGTAAAAAGTAAAAAATCATTTATTGACTTTAAAAATTTATTTATAAAAATTATAAATTTATAAAATTTCAATATTTTATATCAATTTAACAAGTTGTCCTTTACTAACTATTTATTCTATACTACAAACTACAGCATTTCACCCTGGTTCTGTTGTTATTAAGAAGAATGTCATATTTGAGCATTAATATTTGCATTAATGGGATATGAATATGAATTAATTGGTCCACTTCTGAATACAGGGAACTTTCCATCGCTCACCACTTCTCAACTGTTTTCCACCGAACTATTCATTGGATTATGAATACAAAATTCAATCACAAATTGACTCTCAAAAACTTTCTTACATAATAGATATTATAGTTTTACTAGCATTTCATATGACATACTGTTTGCGTTTTATATATAATGAAGAATAGTAACCCAAACTTCAATTGAATCCAGAATCCCGGTTCATATATGAATATGGCTCGAGTGCCGT